AGCCCCCAGGGGGGCCAGACCCACCATTTATACAAACTTTATTCCCCTTCGCCCAAGGATGCTTCAGACCAAGTATGGACCAAATCCTTTCATTCCTACAGGAGAAGAGGGATTTTAAAGAATAATTTGCTATATTTCCCCTATTTGGCCCCGCCCCTAAGTCCCCAGGGGGGCCAGACCCACCATTTATACAAACTTTGTTCCCCTTCCCCCACGGATGCTTCTGACCAAATATGGACCAAATCCTTTATTCCTTCAGAAGAAGAAGGATTTTAAAGAATTATTTGCTATATTTCCCCTATTGGGCCCCGCTCCTAAGCCCCCAAGGAGGCCAGACCCACCATTTATACAAACTTTGTTTCCCTTCCCCCAAGGATGCTTTTGACCAAATATGGACCAAATCCTTTCATTCCTACAGAAGAAGAAGGATTTTAAATAATTTGCTATATTTCCCCTATTGGGCCCCGCCCTTCAGCCCCCAGGGGGGCCAGACCCGCTAGTTATACAAACTTTGTTCCCCTTCCCCCAAGGATTCTTCTGACCAAATATGGACCAAATCCTTTCATTCATACAGAAGAAGAAGGATTTTAAAGAATAATTTGCTGTATTTTCCCTATTTGGCCCCGCCCCTCAGGCCCCTGGGGGGCAAGACCCACCATTTATACAAAAATGGTTATTCTTCACCCAAGGATGCTCCACACCAAATTTTGTTAAAATCCGCTCAGTGGTTCATGACTAGTAGTGTAAAGTTTACGGACGACGGACGCAGGACGACGGACGCTGCGGTATGGCATAAGCTCACCTTGGTCCTTCGGACCAGGTGAGCTAAAAAGGAGAAGGATTTTTTTCCACTCTATTTCCCCTAATGGGCCCCACCCTTCTGCCCCAAAGAAGGGGGCTTACAGTCACAAAATTGATTTCTTTTTACCAAAGCATGCTTCCAACCACATTTAGTTTAACTCCCTTTATTTGTATAGATGGAGAAAACATTTCCTTTATTTTCCCTATTGGGCCCTTACCCCTCTGCCCCCAGGAGGCCCATACCCTCCGTTTATACAAACTTGAGGCCCTTTTGTCCAAAGACGCTCTAGAACTCTGGTCAAAATCCCTTCATCAGTACAAAAGAAGAAGGTTTTTGAAGATTGACATATTTTCCCCCTTTTTGATCCCGCCCCTTTGCCCCTAGAGGGCCCACATCCTCCATTTATACAAATTAAAATTCCTTTTTCCCAAAGATGCTCTTGAACAAATTTGGTTAAAATCCCTTCATCAGTACAAAAGGTGAAGGATCTTATTTTTTTTCTACTTCCCTAACGAGCCCCACCTTTCTGCCCCAAAGAAGGGGGCATAAAGCCTAAGTTTATTCAAAATTGATTTCTTTTTCCCAAAGCATGTTACAGACCACATTTGTTTAAAACCCTTCATTTGTATAGGAGAAACAAATCCTGTATTTCCTCTATTGGGCCCCTCCCCTCTGCCCCCAGGGGCCCCACATACTCTATTTATATCAATACAGTTGAACCTCGTTATGACGAGGTCGATGGGGTCGTGGAAAAACTTCTGAAAAGTTATCTGAGTATTCGAGTTATGCGGGTCCATACATTTGGTATGAAATGCTGTTTGGACATAGCACTAGCATTTGCTGATTTTATTAATAACTAATGCTTAAGTTATAATCAATTGTTGCTGACCCGAAAGTTAGTCCTAGGGACTTAATTTCTATGCCAAATAACTTTGAAATGGTTGAGATCCCCAACCCATAGCCGTATATACCATTGCTTGGCATAATGATGTAGGTGAGCGATACAGGACCTCTGGGCCTCTTGTTGGATTCTGTTGATTTTATAAAATCGCAAATGTTCTTAAACAGGATGTCCTTAAAAGCAGGTGTCATTAAAGTCAGTTTTACTGTATATTACAGGATGTCCTTAAAGTCAGATGCCAGTAAAGTCAGGTTTTACTGTAATTATTACATGATCTCCTTAATGTCAGGTGTCAGTTAAGTCAGATTTTACTGTGTATTACAGGTTGTCATTAAAGTCAGGTATCAGTAAAGTCAGGTTTTACTGTAAATGACAGGATGTCCTTAAAGTCAGGTGTCAGAAAAGTCAGGTTTTACTGTATATTACAGAATATCTTTAAAGGCAGGTGTCAATATAGCCAGGTTCTACTGTTTATCACAGGACGTCCTTATAGAGTCAGGTGTCAGTAAAGTCAGATTTGATGTATTTTACATCATGGAGTTAGATTTCAGTAAAGTCAGGTTTTACCAAATTACAGGTTTCACTGCAATTAAATAAACGTCTTAATTCTGTATCTGTTTTTTAAGGTTGAATATTAAAAATATTCTGTAGTTTACACATATTATAAAAGAATGGACTAGAAGATATTTATAAACACTATTCCTATATAGTGTACGTGGTTATCTTCAATGTCTGGTATATCTGTGTATATTAATGTAGTTGATTGATGTTTGGGTCCTGACAAAGGGTAATTAAGATTTTCTCAAAGTTTAACAAATTCTATTGTACACATAGAAACTAGTTAGGATTTTCCACAAAAGTTGACAAATTATATTGTCCAAATAGACACAAGTTAAGATTTTCAGGAAAGTTTGACAAATTATTTTGTCCACAGAAAATTTAATCACTTTATTGCTGATATATCAACTTAAGAAATACTCATTTTATGAACATTTATTTGTTCCGATCTAAAATCCTACGTTTTTAATATTTATAAGATATACTTATATATAATACATACTGTTATATACAGTAATACGTATTAATGATTTTATCTTTTGTTTTTAAATGAAATGTAATCTTATTTTATATTTCTTGACGCTGTTTATAGACTGTTCAAAGCTTAAACGATGGATATAAATTTGGATAGAACTGTATTACCACTGTAAACTGTATAATACGACCCATAACATAGGTCCTCTCGCTCATTCGGCATCAAACCCTACAAGGTTAGCGCGGGTAAAGGAGGGAGGCCGATGGAGCTATATGGACCTATTAGCTAGGTAAGAATAACGGGATAAACGAATAATAGACTAATAATCAATATCTGTTTATCTGACACAGCGAATAGTGTAATGACAACAATATCCAATCACCCAAAACATTAAACAGATTAAATTAACCAATCAAAACTAAAAAACATTTAGTAAATATTCATAAACCTAAAACATTTCACTTCCGGTAGGTGTAAGAAAGCGAATACTGAACTAATAATCAATATCTGTTTATCTGACAAAGTTTCAGTTCAATCGGCCAAGCAGAACTTGACTTTAAGTTTGAAATAGTTTTTCGAAATGGGCGGCCGTTGCAGCCTTATTGGAATCTGATTGACCCGAAAAATAACAACACTTTGTCAGGAACATGAGTCGATCATTCCTACAAAATGTCAGTTCAATTGGCCTAGCAGAATTTGACTTTAAGTTTGAAATAGTTTTTCAAAATGGCGGCCATGGCGGCCATATTAACAACACTTTGTCAGGACCATGAGTCGATCATTCCTACAAAATGTCAGTTCAATTGGCCTAGCAGAATTTGACTTTAAGTTTGAAATAGTTTTTCGAAATGGGCGGCCGTGGCAGCCTTATTGGAATCTGATTGACCCGAAAAATAACAACACTTTGTCAGGACCACGAGTCGATCATTCCTACAAAGTTTCAGTTCAATCAGCCTAGCAGAACTTGACTTTAAGTTTGAAATAGTTTTTCAAAATGGCGGCCGTGGCGGCCATATTGGATTTCTGATCGACCCGAAAAATAACAACACTTTGTCATGACCATGAGTCGATCATACCTACAAATTGTCAGTTCAATCGGCCCAGCAGAACTTGACTTTAAGTTTGAAATAGTTTTTCAAAATGGCGGCCGTGGCGGCCATATTGGATTTCTGATCGACCCGAAAAATAACAACACTTGGTCAGGGAGATGTCAGGAACCTTCCCATGAAATCTTAATGAAATCCCTTTGCCAGTATTTCACGACGGACGAAGACGGATTGCAATAGGTCACTTGAGCTAAAGCTCAGGTGACCTAAAAACAGCACATGCATGACACTAACCACTAATATACAGTCCGTCGGATGGGACTATAAATAGTGACCCGTGTGAGAACGGTCCAATCTCGCATGGAAAAAAAATTCCTCTGGGTTTTTCGAAAAGAGGAGGCGCGTAATCGCCGACACAGAGGATAGTAAAAACTTTATCCAAAATTTTAGGCCGTTATAACTAGGGTCTCTTTTTTAAGACATTAAGAAGGACTTCCAAATTTTATACACAAACCAAATTCATAGAATAGGCAGGGGCTGGTGTGGCTGAAGGCAGCACAGTACTTCACTTCCGGTCCTGACTTGGTGATGCTGTACGATGAGTGTTAGGTTAAGGCACTATTAGGCATAGGAGCCGTCTTACAAAAACTAGACTTATACAGTTAATATATATAGGATAGACGGCCCCTTCTAACCTATTCCCCTCTTCTACTCTTTTACTCCATACTTTATCCGTTCTACTCATTTTCCTTTCTGTTCTTCGTCTGCTGGATAACCGAACTACTCGGTAGTGAGGCGGACGTAAACCATATCAATCAATCAATCACCGGATAACCAGTCTACATGAGTTTTTGAGGACTGGTCACGTGTATAGGATCCGACCAATGTGATTGCGAGAAATGCTCATGCATATAATAAAAACATATGTATATATATGTAATAATATAAAGAAATAATGCCAACAAAATACAAAAAGTTTACATTATATTTAAATCAAATCATGATAATTTTATCAATTTAAACAATCAACACAGAGGTATATATACGTACACTATGGGTTTGTCTTGTTACCTACCAATAGACATCTATCAGACACTTACACAGCAAATACCAGTTTGTAAACATGACCTACATCGTTACCTAATTATATAATACACATATATAACTATCAGACACTATACACAGCAAATACCAGGGTCTCTACACATGACCTACACTACACAATCTAACCAATTAAGTTTTCTGTACTACGCCTTTCGGCAACCTCGCTCAACAAGGAAGTAATCTACAAATGGTGGCCGAGGAGCGTTTTCAGTTTGGACAGGAACTGATATTAACCAGAAATGTCTCCTTAGTCTGAGCCAGAAAACAAGTGATTGATCATAACAACAATATGTAATTTAATTCCAGGCTTTGTTTCCAATACTGGGGATATAGAAAATGACAATTTGTACCTGTTTCCTTGACGTTTACATTCTGAGGCTTGGAATGGAAGTGATCATCAGGTAGCTATGCTTTAGTGTCTTTACAATTATGTGTTATGAATATTAACACATGTACCTGGATTGGAGCTCAGTGTACAGTCAAGATTTAGAGACATAAAATAAAGTCTATTTTGTGACTGTTATTCAATATCAGTTATAATATACAAGTTCTATTTAAGGAATTCCTTTTCTCTTCCTCTACTTTTTCATCAACATGGCAACACCCATGGGTCAAATCCCTCTCCGTACCTGTACTGAACACAAGGGGAGACCACTGGAACTTTACTGTGAGAAATGTGATACACTGGTCTGTTATAAATGTTTGTTATCTACTCACAAAGGCCATGATGTTTGTGAACTCAGCGATATTACTCCTACAAAGAAACAAGACATTCAAAACTTTATTGACAGAACTGAACAAAATGACCTGGTACAACTTAGGGAATACATCACATCTGCTGAAACACTACTTAAAGAAAACACCAGCAATTTTCAGAATCTATCACACAAGTTGAAAATGCAAACAGAAAAATTAAAGAAAGACCTCGACTTGTTTACAGCACAGACACTCTCTGTCTATCACAAAATGGAGGAGGATAATACCAAACTGATACAGAAATACAAACAGGACCTTGAAATGTACGACAAGCAACTTGGACAACAAATTCAGAAATGCAAAGCAGCACTCCAGCAAGGTTCTCACATAGAAATCTACGACACAGGATGTGAAATTCATTCCCAAATAAGTCTCCCTGTAAAACCTGTTCTGGGTACTGCCAGTTTCACTCCGAACAAAACCCCTCAACATCACCTAGAACTGGCCTTAGGGAAAATTGACACCTTAGATCAAGGTCAAGCTTCAACTGACCAGGATGGGTCAGTCAGGACATCTGGTGGTCAGAAACCATCCTCTACATCACAACTGTCAGAACCAAAAGGAAAGAAGGCAGTGACTATGTACAAACTACTGCCACAGACAAAAGTGTTGGAGAAGTGGAAGGCTCGGGTTGATATTTTTTCTATATGCCCCACAACTGATGGTCAGGTATGGACCAGTGTGTCTCACAGTAAAACATTAACTCTCCTGGACAGGAAGGGGAAAATAATACAGCAGGTCAAACACAAAACTGACATCAACAACATAAGTCTGTCACCAACAACACACACACTGTGGGTCTGTGATACACAAAACAACATCATGGAGCTAGTATCAGGACGACTAAAACACAGATTCAGTAACAAGGAGACACCCAAGTGTATCTGTGTTACTGCCAGTAACCATGTCATTGTGGGGATGACCAACAACATCTCCAAATTTACCACACAAGGTCAAATGGTACTAACTACAAGTGTTACAGGGACTGGGAAGCCATTGGTGTGTTCACCATGTAGGATCTCAGAGTGTCCTGTCACTCACAATGTTGCAGTGGTCGATTGGAATAATCAGGATGATGGTGGTGTTGAGATAGAACATGTTATTGTTATGGACTCTGATTTCAAGGAACTGTTTGTATATAGAGGTGACATCCCCAGTACATATAAACAATTACCACATAAAGGAGCTGATCATGAGCCATTTAACCCCTATGGTGTGGTGTATGACAGTGTGGGGAACATTATCATAGGGGACTATAACAACAACAGAGTCCTACTCATCAGTGGACGTGGTGAGTTCCTCAGGATCATACACACAGACACATACAGTACATGGGTTGTAGGTGTAGACAGGGAGGATGTCCTGTGGGCAGTGTTTGGTAGGGGTATTGTTAAACTACTACAGTACAGCAGTGTGTGACTCATGGGACAAAACTAGTAGGTATAGTTACCATGACAACACAGAATCAAACCAACAAAACTGACCACAATAAACAACCAGTCAACATTCTACCCTGATTGTACATCATCATAATCACTGGAGAAAATCTATTCAACATTCTAGTGATTTTTTTTTGTTATTATGATCATCAGAGAAAAATCAGTCAACATTCTAGTGTGAAAAATAATTCATTCTCATCAAAGTCTGCGTGGGGAACAAATTTGTTAAAGCAAACTAAATTTGTTACTAAACCACTGAAATTAACTCATGTATCTATGATCTACAGTCTATAGTGTGAGACTTCCAGATCACTGTAACACTTGTGTATAGAAATATATAAACGACCTCTAAATCACTTACTGGATAGTGGGACAAACAGATAAGTTGTTGCTGGATAGTGGGACAAACAGATAAGTCGTGGCTGGATAGTGGAACAAACAAATAAGTTGTGGCTGGATAGTGGGACAAACAGATAAGTTGTGGCTGGAAAGTGGGACAACTGGATAAATAATGGCTGACATGTTAGACAACTGAACTAATTGTGACTAGAATGTGGGACAACTGGTCTTATGGAGGCTAGAATGTGGGATAACTGGTGATATGGTGACTGGAATATGGGACAACTGGACTAATGGTGACTGGAATGTGGGACAACTGGACTAATGGTGGCTGGATGTGGGACAACTGAACTTATGGTGGCTGTAATGTTAGACAACTGGACTAATGGTGGCTGTAATGTTAGACAACTGGACTAATGGTGGCTGGAATGTTAGACAACTGAACTTATGGTGGCTGAAATGTGAAGCAACTGGACTCGTGGTGGCTGGAATGCGATACAACTGGTCTAATGGTAGCTGTAATGTTAGACAACTGGACTAATGGTGGCTGTAATGTTAGACAACTGGACTAATGGTGGCTGGAATGTTAGACAACTGAC